GATGGAGGCGGTGATGTAGCGCAAGTTGGCCGGTTTGTAGTTGTCACGGGCGTAGTCGGTGAGGTTTGAGTCGGCCTCCACGCCAATGACCCGTGCGCAGGGAAAGGCTCTGGCAATCTCGGCGGTGGTCTTGCCGGTGTTGGAGCCGATCTCCACGATGGTGCTGGGCCTGTTTAAAGAATCACTCAATGTGTTTCAACTTCACTTTTTACTAATCATTACCAGCAACCAAGCAGCTCTCGACCTTTAAATCGAGTGCAAGCAGCCTTCAGCAAACTGATGCCATCCCGCTGCTTGATGACGTTCTCCTTGTCGATTCGCTTGGCGGTGGTCATTATCTTACAAAAAATATAAAACAAACTCATTTGTTTATCTTTTATAATCATTTAATTCACAATATTGTTGGCTAAATTTAAATTGAACTTGAATAACTTTGATTTAACTTTTTTGTCCCTTTCAAAAGAGCAATGGGCAAAATGGGCCTAAATTGAGCAATTGAAACCTTTGACTTGTTATACACTGTTGGAAAGGTAATTTTTTGCTGGTTACAAATCTTAAATAGATATGTTGAGGTGAAAAGTAGTTTAGAAGATTCTTGCACGAGTAAGTCTCATAAAACATTGTTTTTGTGTTATTAAAAATCAAAGTTGAAAAGTTCGAAATTATTAAAAATAGCAAAATTGTCAAACTCAAGCCATTCCTATAACATTCCAATAAACATTTTATGAAGTGTCGTGCAAGAACTACTTTTCACCTCAACATTTTTCTCTGTTTCTCCCTCCGCACTGACTTTTTTTGCTCTACAAATTGTTGCAAGAACGAGTAAAAAGATCACTTTTATTTAGTTTATTCTCATTATTCCACTTATTATTCTAGCAAGCCGTTAGTATCGGCATTATCTCTTATTCGTTTAACCCCATACTCATACTTTAGCCGACTAGCGGCAATCACATGTACTACTCCCACTTTTCTAGAAGGATTTGTGGCGGCTAGCGCCCTCTACATCATTGTCACAATTAAAGAGAGCACGCTGGCCGCTTGTCAGAACGTGCACAGCCATCATCGAGTACAGACGTTGCTAATCTTGCTCGAAAGCTGAAGGCCAAGCTTGCCTTAGCGCGTAGCTCAACCCAAAGAACCCCATCAAGAAGTCGGCCTATGTGCATACGCTGGGCCGCGCATCACATCACTCGGTCTCACAACCACCCCCAAAACAACCGCAGGGACACACTGCTGAAGCTGGTGAGACGCCAGTTTGTGGTTTCTCTCTGCAGTACCGCCCGAACACTCTCCTCACACCCATTCCTACCACCCGTAGTAGAGACGAGGCAGCAAAAGCTCACCGCCTGAGGTTTGAGCGAACAATCACCTACTCGTTTTTATTACAAATTACACCGTTAAAGATATTGAAAAACGGTTTTTACCAGTAAAACGAGATAAATGGCATCTTTCTAGTGGTACCAAATTCGAGTTGAACAAATGACCGGAAGTGCCTTATCTAATCATAGTCACTTTTTAAAACAGCTATATTAAATACTATAAACACTCCAATAAGATTTTCGATTGCAGCATTGGATTTCTCGCCCCTTAATTGGTTTGTGCCTAATTAGGTTTTTCTCAAAACTCTATAATTTACTAGAAAACCCAAAAAGTTTGGAACGTTATCTTTTGCTGCTCTGCGCAGGCGCGTATCGCTATCGCAGCAGCTGCAGCGCTGGATAAAGCTGTGCGCTCTCACTGCCCTTCTCGCTGCTATCGCTGCCGCCGCTCTCACCCTGGGCTGTCGGGAGAGCACAGTTGTTGCGGGGGCAGCACTGCACAGCCCAGGGCGGCGAGGTCTGACGTGACTTGGCCGTTGTCAACGACCGACGACAAGGGTCTTGCGAGCTCAGCGAGCGGGGCCCGAAAAGGAGGGCCCAGACATCAATGTATGTTAGCGGTGCACAGATAAAAAAAGGCGAGGTTTGGCGTCACTTGGCTTATCAAAAACGCCCGCCGACGAGGGACTCGCGAGCGGAGCGAGCGAGGTCCGAGATATCAGGTTACATTGTTTACGAATGGTCACTTTTCTGTTGCTAAATCAAAACAAAACAGCGTTTGCTCTAAGTCACTTAGCAAGTCACGCAATCAAGCTCGCATCGATCCATTCTGGTTGAAGCCATTATCTCGTCCCATTTATCACCCGACTGGCACTGCACCTTTTCCGTGCATCCTCTCTCAGTCATGATTAATCTTGCTGGCCGTTTGATGTAAGTATTGGTTGCCACTTCAAATCACACCTATCACCTAACACCTATCCCGTCAAGTGCAACTTCTACCTACTTTCACGGAAAACCTCAGTTCTCCCACCTCATGGAAGCTCGTCTCGGCAAACTTTGCTGAAATTGCCTTTACTAACCGACCGCCCTACTGCTTGACTACTTTAGACTTTGCCGCGCAGCGGCTCACTAAGACTCGATCACTGGGAGCTTCACATGCTGACTGCGCCAATGACGCAATGGACCAAGTCGCGCGCTAGGTGTCATCCACTTGCCAAGAAGATCCAGTTTGGCAGTGTTGGTCATTAGCACCGGTTTAGCAGAGAAGAAAAAAACTTTAAAATACAAACACTAATGTGATTTTACTTTTGCAGGAACATGCTCAACGACTGCAAGATCACCCTGTAGCGACAACCAAAAGAGCCATCAAGCGCTCGAAGATCACTTTACAGAGGACCCTGACCAGTACTGGATCGATGTCACTACCACAACCGAAAACAAGTCAAACTTCAAAGATTAGGCACTTACATCGTTCACCCTTTGATTTTTCATCAAATGCTTTTTCTCCACTTTTGTCTTTGTTTTTCTTTATCATTTGAATACTCATGTAATTTTCATAAACTTATGACAATAAAAACTTGAAGTAAAACGAAAAAACTAACGAGTAATCTCAAACTTGTATAAGAAAGTCTTATGAAATGTCTTATAACTGTATAAAAGAAAAATTTCATAAAATAGTAAAAGTTTTATGCGCAAAATCCAAGCTGTTTTCTCATAATTGTATGAAAAATTTTCTTATGATCTCTTGAGAAATGAACTGGTTCTTATATCCTTTTGAGGCATACTTTTGTGTGTGATCATGAGAAAATGACGATTCCTAGAAATTCGTTGTCTCAGTTGGTGACTCATTTGGCGAGCTTTTGTAGCATCATGATAATCAACACTGCATACAAAAAAGATTAAGTTTGTTAGTTCTGATTATAAAATATTAGTAAAATTAAAGTTATACCTTATGGGTTCATCTACATTTTGAAAATTATTTAAAGCAACTTTAAGATCATCAACTCCATTTTCTCTTTTATTAACAGGTTGTTTCTGTCCAGGCACTAAAAGGTGCATAAATCTTGATTTTATGTTTGTCCATCGATTTTTGGCATAAACAAAAATTATGAAAAGAAGCGTAGAAGCAAAAATAATTATTGCTATACAAATCAAAGCTATAAAACATTTTAAAATAAAAAATAATTAGGTTTCAGTTATTTATAAAAAGATAAACTTACTTATCACATTAGAAATCACTGGTGGCTTAATAACGCCTAACTTTTTTATTTTTGATTTTTTCAAAAAATGAGTTTTCAAATTTTGTTTAGTGTCGTTGAAAATTATTTGAGAATTTATTGTTGCGGATGTTCCATTTGAAGAAATAACAGTAATTGTGTCGGTTTCTTCTTGAAAACACTGTTCTTCTTCAAAATAACTTATGGCTATGGCAATTTCACTTATTGTGTCTTTATCAAAAACCTAAAATATAAATGTTTATATTTGATAAATTAAAAAAAACAAAATACAAACAAATTTTTAAATACATACCAAATTATTTTTCGTTTTTTGCATCAAATTATTGTATGTTTTGTTGGTATGTTTGGCTTCCCATTGATGTCCGGTTTCGTGGCTAGTTACATTGCAACCATTCATTAAATCAATTGCACAGTTGACAAAGCTGATGCCGTATAAGTTACGTGAAGAACAGGCAATTCCAAAACTAAATCCGTCATATTCAGTTCCATTTTTAGCTTTGACTTTTTTAATTGTGTAGAAACCAACTGATGAGTATTTGTCCATTAAAGTTTTTACAAATTGATTGTTAAATAAAAACTTTTCTAGTTCATCAACATCATATTCTTTTAACAAATTTAAATCGGAAAGATCTTCAGGGTTATGAACAATTAAACTTAAAGATGGACCAAAATTTTGATAAGTTTTTCCAGAATAATGGCCAAACGATTGTTTGCAAAAAATTTGTTTGGTAGATTCGATTTGATTAAAAATTGCAATGTTAGCCAAAGTTTCATTTCCATTAAAGTATTCCAAAACGCTTCCATCAGTAATGATTGCATTTGCTAAAAATATTGAATTAATTTAGTTATAACTGTTTTTTAAAAATGTATTGCTTAAAACATGCATAACTATTTCAAAAAATATTTTTTAGAAAAGTGCTAAAATAGGTATGTTTTAAAATTAAATAAAGTTAGTTGATTATTTTATTAAAACTTACGTATTCGGTTTTTAGATGCATTTGAAAGCAAAATCGGTCTGGCATCAGTTGCGTTTGAGTTAATAAAAATAAATAATAAAAATATTATTGCATTGGCTGGCTGTTGCCATCTCAGTTCAGCTTGCAAAAACATTATCCGCATGTGACGATGATTTAGATTGCAAAAATAAAAAATTTGGCAATGCAGAAGAACTTGACAAAATCTGTTAAAACTGTATAAATAATTGCGTATAAAAATTAATAAAATAAACTTACTTATTTAAAAAAATTTGCAAATACAAGTTTCCTGCTATGATAAAATGTTGATTTACATTTTTGGTAAAAAATGACTAGTTAGACTAGTATAAAAAGATGTGTTGCTAAACGTAGATCGGTGTTCAGTTGAAAGTGGAGTATTTGATGCTTTGGAATGAGATTTCAGTGATCACAATAGGTGGGTAATTGAGTAAAAGTTGATAAAGAAGAAGTAAAAGAAGAATAAAAAGAACTTGTGAAGACTGCAAATGTAAAATATAGTTTTCGACAACGGAGTAAAAAGGCGGCTGACTGACAAACAGCGTGACAAAGTAATGGTGATGATAATACTGAGAGTAGCCTATAGGCCTATAGGCCGCTAGCAATGTGGCTTTGAGAGTTCAAAGTTACATCGCCTGTTTGTGTAAACAAGCAGCTACTTTTTGCCATTAAAGTCAGTCTGGACAACGTATGCTTGTGTGCACTCTCACTCTACGTTTCTGGTGGCAACGGTGAGGTCATTTAATTGAGTGAAAGTGAATGATTGTGCAACATATTTACTGAATGTTCTGACAAGCTAATGACAAGTTAGTGAAAGAGAGCTGTTTCAGAAGATTCATAGAAACAATGTGAAAAGCTCAAATCAGTATTAGAAATTGTGTTTTTTCTAAAAGCTGCAGATGTAAATTTACGGCAAGTGAAATAGGTTTTCTATGAAATGCAAAAGAATTTAAACAAAAAGTAACCAAATAGCAAGATATTTGTACATCCGGAAAAGGACGGTTATTACATACCGGTCGACGATGTTTGCTAAAAATCCTAGTGTACGGTTGAGAACGAAGACAAAAGGTGAGCATATGCGGACCCCACATAATGTCCAGATAATGTCCATGGTAAGTGAGTTAGGACATTTAGAAAAAAGTAACAAAAAACAACAATGATAAAAGGTAAAACTAAATCACAATTTGAAAAACCGACTAGCAAATGAATAGAATGACTTGACGGAATCTAGGCTGCATTGTGCAACAGATTGATAAACGTAAGGTGCTTAGCTGCCCCATAACAAAGTAAAATCTGTTTAGAATTTTTTTTAACTTTCTCTGTGAATTGGGCAGCACTGCACAACCTTTACACATGTTGGCAACATGATGTTGCAGTACAGCTGCTGCCAGAAACTTGCTGCAAACTGGCAGCCTGTTGTGGAAGAAACTAGCAGATGGCAGTATGCCCTACTGAGAGTGGCTGGTTTTTGGGAGCTACATGATGTGCATTGCTGCCCAATTTTAACCAGCCAAAGTCGATTTTCGTTTGTTGTGAATGCCTTGTTCAGCGTTTACAAGCAAAAGAAAGCAAAAGAAAAGGAAAGTCGCCGTCTTTTATAGAAAAGTGAATGGCTTTGGACGGCCGATTTCCTACTAAATTATCAGTAGCCCCCAAAAAACAGCTACTTTGTCAGCTAAACTTGTAGAGTCATCTTAAACAATATCGATTTTTTAATCGATTGTTTGGCTTCTGGACTTTAGAATTTAAAATGACGGAGTAAAAAAGCTTTTAGAGGGTGTGATTCTAGTCAATAATAAAAAAACTTTCAAGACCTTTTTATACGCAAACTGTAAATTGATGACAAAATGGCTTGGTTCGGAAAAATTAAAACGCAGTCACTGTGATATGCAAAGATCAGAGCCGTAAAGATAACTTTCATACACAATTCCTAGTACTAAATCACAAAGCTGAGATATTCCAAAAATTCCTAACTTTTTCCAAATTAGGTCATTTTGTCAGTCTAGGACAGGGATAACAGAACGGCGGACAACTTTAGGCCATGCTAGCAGTATTGTAACAGTTGTGCTCCCACGCTTTTGAGGAGAGGTGCTGTGGTTGGTCTTCAAAGCGCAAGCGCAAAAAAATCTCAGCCAGGCAAAAAAGTCTCCGAAAAGACAAGTCTCCAAACGCGTGAGTTTAGGAAAATTGAAATAACTTTATTTTAAACTTACTCACTTTAATACTCACTTTAAAAAGAAAATAATACAAATCTATCAGTTTAAATTAATTTAGTAATTAATATAACTTTGATGGTGACCAGTAGTTTTTACTGTTGATCTTTTAAGGCAACCGTCACTCGAACTTTTTAGTTTTTTACGTTTCTAATAGTTTCCATATGAAAACAACTTTTTGCGTTTTTTACAACCGATTTTATCTAGAATACCTAAAATTCTGGTTTTGGTTTTAAAATAATCTTAAAAATTTTATCTTGAATCGTATGGAGAGGTTTTGGAAAATATTGTTTTGGGATTTTTTAATGACCGATCAAAGTTTTTACACGTGTTTTTTGCAACTTTAACTCAATGAAAAATATAGTAAAAAACAATATTTTCCAAAACCCCTACATACGATTCAAGATAAGATCTTTAAGATTATTTTAAGACCAAAACTAGAATTTTAAGTACTCCAGGTAAAATCGGTTGTAAAAAAAGGCAAAAAGTTGTTTTCATATGAAAACTATTGGAAACGTGAAAAACTAAAAAGTTTGAGTGAGGGTTGCCTTAAGCATTAGTGCTCTTTTTGCATCACTTGCGTGACGATCGTGTTACGATCTTATTAGCAAGAAGTTTATCATTTGCTCAGCAAACTGAAGCAGTTTTATAACTGAAGTAAGGGTTAGGTTTTTTTTATTAAACTCTATTGAATAGTTTTTTCAAAAAAGTGAACCTCTGTAAACTCTCGTAACTGCTTAAAATTCTCTGCATAGGACAAATTAAAATAAACGGGCTTCAGCCCTGATGGAGCCGCCCGCCAAAATCTACAAGAGCAACAGGGATAGGATGCTAACTGGCTAGAAAATAATAAAATGGGCTTAGATTTACTTTAACTTGGTCATTATGTTTAGTTACTGAATTCAATTAAAAGATAAGCTGCTCACTTTTTTACTACTTTTCAAATTTTGATTTTTTGGTGGTTTAAATGATAATAAAAAATTACTTTATGGAAGTTAATAAGGATTTCATGTAGAACACTCCTATGTTGATATTTTGCCTTTTAGTGACTAGTTTGCCATCAACAAGGACTTAAATTTCATTAACATTGCATTACACTTTTTGGCAAACTGGAAGTTGGCATGGCTTGATCAAAAATGCAAAATGAAAAAGAACTAAATCTAAACCTTCAATTAATTTTTTAAAGATTCAGCTTTTTAAAAAATTAATTGATTAAAAATTTGTGATTAAATTTTCATATAAACTCATAAAGTTCAACTTCAAAGTAAAACATTTCTGTTTTGTTTCAAACTGTTCTCAATTGGCACGCCTATTTTTTATTTTGGTGAAGTGTTTTTTCGGAGTTCTCTCACCATTTTTCTAGTGATGTGGCGCTTGCGCAGGAGCACCGACCACAACACCACTACGCCAAATATGTGGTGGGCCGCTAGCATGGCCTAAAGTTGTCCGCCGTTCTGTTATCCCTGGTCTAGGACTTTTGTCAAACTTTTGAGCTCAGTTGTTCAGATTACAAACACTACACTTCGCAACCATTAGATATCAAAGCGTGTTTATTCGTTGTTGTTTTTGCAATAAACACAAGCATGCAGAAACGCAAAGAGAATTTAGCATTCAGTCGGCAATTAGATGCACAGCCCCACAGAAATGTAAAATCACAATCGACTTTCAATTTGAAAATAAATTATTTAGTAGCGCGTAATAATTAAGCTGAAGTAATATCTTGAGTAGTGCTAGCCCAGTGGTGAGAAGGAGAAGGAGAAAAGGGTTGAAGAGTGGTCGCGTGGTGCAGAAAGGCAGCACTGCAGAATAATACAGTTGTTTTTGGGGCAATCATCTCTTTACCACAGGACACTCTCTGCTTGTGATGCTGATCATTACTCGCCCCCGTAGCAGTCATCGCCGCCATATCGGTCCTCCTTCACCTTCTGCAGCTTGATGAGGTCATCAATGCGCAGGATGGTGATGGCCGCCTCGGTGGCAAACTTCAGACTCTTCACCTTGGAGATGGCCGGCTCGAGGATGCCCATCTTCACCGCGTCCTTCACCGTGCCCTCAAACAGATCCAGGCCGGTGTTCTTCATCGCCGCGTGGTCCGCCTTCGTCTGGGAGCTGTTGTGGTAGGCGCGCAGCTTCGCCACCAGATCGGTGGCGTCCTTGGCGGCGTTCACCGCCAGCGTCTTCGGAATCACCAGCAGCGACCGGGCAAACTCGGCAATGGCCAGCTGCTCGCGCGAGCCAATGGTGGTGGCAAAGTTCTCCAGGTACACGGAGAGGGCCGCCTCGACGGCGCCCCCGCCCGGAACCACCTTCTTCGACTCGAGGACGCGCTTCACGGCGCACAGCGAGTCATTGAGCGAGCGCTCCATCTCGTCGAGGAAGAACTCGTTGGCGCCGCGCAGAATGATCGACGCAGAGTTGTGGTTTTTGGTTCTGTAAAAACGCAAGGGTTTAGTGAGGTGATAAAACAAACACAAAAGATATCAAGACTCTTACCCCTTGACGAGAATGAGCTCATCGTCGCAAATTCGCTCCTGGACCACCTCTTCCGCCTCGCCGAGCATGGCCGCCTCGAAGGTCTCCTCGCCCTCCATGTTCGCCAGACTGGCAATCAGCTGGCCGCCGGTGGCCTTCGCTATTCTCTTCAGGTCAAACTTTCGACACCGCCTGACCGCCATGACGCCGCTCTCCAGACAGTACTTCTGACAGAGCTCATCGACGCCGCCAGTGGTGAGGATGACATTGGCGCCGGCGTTGATGATCTTCAGGATGCGCTCTTTGGTAATGTCGCTTTCACTGGGAAAAGAGAGAGAGTCAGAAAAAAATTAAATACAAGTCAAAATTGAATAAACTGCCACACTAACCGCTTGCGCATATCTTCCAGCTTATCTGGATCATTGATCAGCATCTGCACGCCCATCTTCATCTTGGCTTTCTGCAGGGAAAAGTCGAGCAGAGCAATCTTGGCGTTCTTCACCTGCTTGGGCATTCCTAAAGTGGACAAAAACAAACAAACAATAACTTACAAATCATTCAATAGGACTTAGCAAAAGACATTACCTTGCATGGCGATGGCACAGTTAAGAGCGAAGCCGTTGATAAGTTGACTCTCTCGCATACTCTTGCCATTGGCCTTGAGAATGCGAATGGCCTTCACGGGGTACTTGAACCCACCGCGGCCGTCATTCTGCTTGATGATGGTAACCGCCTCAACGACCATGTTGGAGAAAAACTCCGAGTCACTATAAAAGAGAAGTAGAATGTTGTTAGAGTTTGGTTTGGAAAGTTGCACTGAATTGAAAAGGTCACTGCAACTAGGGTTATTTCTCGATAATATATTCCCAGCGTATATCACAAATCATATGGGTGCAAGATGAAGTGAGGAAAGTATATGGGAAATGAGATAAACAAAGATAGAAGGTAGAACAACTTACGATCCAATCAACTTCGAAGAGAGCGACGTCTTTGCAGCATTGATGATGGACTCCTTGCCGAGATCATCCACATTCAGCGTCAGGTGCTCCTGAATGTACTTGACTGCCTCTTTGCAGGCAAGACGATACCCGGAGATGATCGAAGTGGGGTGAATCTTATTTTGCACTAGTTCGTCGGCGTTTTTAAGTAGCTCGGCGGCAATGATAACCTGTGATAAAGTGATGGAATGCGCTTAGAATCTGCACAATCAAAACAAGGCATAGTGTTCACTTACAACAGATGTGGTGCCATCGCCGACCTCCTTGTCCTGAAGTTGAGCGAGGTCAACGAGAACTTTAGCTGCCGGGTGCTCCACTTCGAGCAGTCCCAGAATGGTGGCACCGTCGTTGGTGATTGTCACGTCCTGAAATCAACAGAGAAAGCGGTCAAACTCAAAAGCCAAGGTTTATATCACCGGTGTTTACTTACACCAATATCGTCGACGAGCATCTTATCCAGTCCAATCGGGCCAAGAGAGGACTTGACGACGTTGGCAATAGCTGAAGCTGCCATGACTGGAGAAAAGCCAAAGATTAGCTTCTGAAAAACAGTGATCAGCAAATTATTACCATTCTGAGTGCGCACATTCTGGCCCGAAACTCGGTGGCCGGCCACTGAGAGCAGATGTTGAACGGACATAATTGGAGAGAAAGAATGAGAGAAGAGGCTCCAAGTGGATCGAGGACTGAAGCTTGGCTTGATGGAAGAGAAGTCTGCTAACAAACTAGACGACGATAAGCGGCGGGCAAGGCGTGATTTTACTTGCAGCAGCAGCAGCAGTTGCACAGCGGCTATTGTCTGCAGCCGGCAGCGTGCTTTTTCTCGAAGACTCCCTTTTTACGGGAACATTGCCTTGCGGCGTCCTCTCGACGCTCTCAGGAAACTTTTTCCCCGCTAAACACAACTGGCAAAACAACAGCAGCAAATGAGTCAAAATAAAGGTATTTTTATTGCGATAAAGTTTCTTTTTAAAGTTTTCAGTGGCACACACATAATAAGCATGATAAGAGGAGAGGAGAGGAGAATTGTCAATGATTTGAAATTGAAAAAAGCGGTATTGTATTGCAGGTAGAGAAGGTTGGGAGTTGATAGCAAAAATAGGAGGAATTATAATACAGAGAGAAAGATTTAAAAGGGAGACAAAGATTTAGGTATGCTTTGTGTGATAAACGAGGGGCAACAACGGATAAAAATAAAGTAGTAGTGATCACTGTAGTGAAGGAATGATGGTAATCAAATAAAATCAAAGTATCAAAAGAAGAAGAAGAAGAAGGTCGATTACAGGTTGTGTGGTCGTAGCAAGCCATTGGCTACTGACGGGAAAAAGGGGGAAAAGGGAAAGGGGAAACACGGCAACAATATTACAAAATAGTTGTCAAAGGTGACACAGAGGGTGACTAGAGAATGGGATATCGGAAAGGATAAACAATAGATTATGGGGAATGGTGGGGCCAAGGTGGTTGTGTACAGAGAAGAAGAACAGTAGTGATAAGGAAGGAAGGAAGTGGCAAGTGAAGGGCATCAACAGCAAGCCAGGAGGAGACTTTGGGAGAAAAGGAAGGAAGGAAACGATATGACAATGATTGATCTTGGTTAGATAGGTGAAATTGCTGAAAAATAAAGAGGATTCGACAGAAACCCATTTGATATCTATCACCACTTTTTCCAGCACTACTCGAAGCTATTGTTGAGCAACATGAAGGAGGACCGGCGGAGGTCAAACTCGGCGCGCGACTTCTCCCGCACCAGAAACTCAATGTAGTCCTTGTGCGGCGTGTTGTAGTAGGCGCGGGAGATGGCCTGCGCCACCTGCGCGTGGTTCATGTCCTCGGTGCTGTGGCCGTCAATCTCGAGTATGATGTGGCCGACGTGCAGGTCGCCGCACTCGATGGCTGCGCCCGATTGCTGCAGAGAAGAGGAAATGGAAAAAAATTAGTAAAAAAACTTTGATTTTCTACAAAAATCCGCTTACATGAATGCTGATAATGCGAGGCTGCGTCTGCGTGGTCACATTATCGCCTCCCTCGATGACGATGCCCAGAAAGGGTCTCGACTTTTTCACCTTGATTCGCCAGCGGCCGTTCGGTTCAGAGGTCGCCCGGTGGCTCTGTTTATAATGGTAAATCTGTTTAGAAATTGACTCTAATGATCACTATTCTCCTGCTTACCGGAAGCCTAAATGAGTTGCTCCGTTGGTGCTGCGGAAAGTTCGATGCCAGCAGCTTCTCCGTGGTGAAGGTGGGCGAAGGCAGCGACCGGTGGCGGCGAACTCGCAGGTGCCCGCTGAAGAGCCCACCACCGGCGCCGCCCGAGGCACTGTCATCACTTTCACTGCCGTCACCCTCATCACCCCCTCCGCCCCCTCCGACGCCATTGATGGGCGGCACGTGCAGGTGATTGCCACTGCCTCGGAGGGGCCCTGAGGCGGAGGCCAGCGTGGAGGTAGTGGCATTGTTGGCGATAGTGGGCGTGTTGGGCGCTTCCAGCAGGTGACCATCCTCGTGCTCGGGAATCGTCTCCTGGAGGCAGCACTGACTCGAGTTGGAGCCCTTTCGAGAAAGTGAAATCCGCTGAGAGGAAGAGGAGGCGGAGGAGTTGGGCACTTCAAGCTCCTCCCTTGATGATCGATGCTGCTGCTGCGGATTCTGCTGAGCAAAGGTTACCGAAGGCGAAGGGGAACGGCGAAGTCGAAGGTCAGATGGATTCTAAAGTGGGAAAAGAAATAAAAGAAAAAGAACGTCAGTTAAGAGAAGGACAGTGAAAGATAATTGCCACCTGTGCTGACAAATTGTGGCGGCGGTGGTCAGCAACAGCACCTCAAAAGTGGGTGAGTGTTGCGTGTTTGTGTGCGTGTGTATTCAGGGAAAGAAAGAGGTGATCTGACAGCAGCATCTAAGCATCCAGGCCGAAACANTCAGCAACAGCACCTCAAAAGTGGGTGAGTGTTGCGTGTTTGTGTGCGTGTGTATTCAGGGAAAGAAAGAGGTGATCTGACAGCAGCATCTAAGCATCCAGGCCGAAACAGATCTCGGACAGTCTCGCCGCTCACCGCTGACAACTTACTTAAACTGAGTAGCGAGAAAGTAAAATCAGTGTGCATCTGTACTCTCTCCTTCTCTTTCCCGGCCACAGTGTTTTAACTGTAACTGCACTTGATACGGTGGTAGCACTAGTTGAGAGGATGATGATGATGATGAAGAGGAGAGGAGGACAACAACAAAAGCAGCAGAAGCAGTGGTGTCTTGCACAAACACACACACTTTCATACAATTCAGGTCAGAAGAGCACTATTTTAGACAAGTGCTGATGGTCAGTGCAGTGCCTGCTGAATCAGCACTGCACTTCACTGAAGTTGAAGTTTTGCGGCAGCTTTTCCTTTCGCTCTCTTTTCGCTCTCCTTTCGCTAACGCACGATGACACGGCCACTGCTTTGGCTGCTGTGGCCAATGGATAGTGCACCGAGACACGCACTGCTACTCATCGCGCCCAAAACAGCACACATTTGCATCTTCGCATCATCATCACGACCACACTGTGCGATGTCGAAGATCGGCCTGTGTGTGTCAGAAGGGACAACGGTGCAAACAGACACTAAAGACACTGACTGGCTGGCTGACTGACTGACAGACAGCTCCAATTACCATGTGAAGAAAGGAAAGGAAAGGAGAAGA